TCTTGTGGCCTCCCGAAGAAGTCGCACACTTCGAAAAGAAACAAGTCGGCGTCGACACTCTTAAGACGCTCGACTACAGAATGCGCACCTTGGAAATCAGCCATCTTTTTTTAAGAGGAGAGCCGATTGAGGAGGCTTAATGAGGCGAACTGCAAGAAATACAATTCCAGATTTGAATTCAGAGAATGATGTATGCTTACGATTGCCGAATTTTCAGGAACTCAGAAGACATGTACAAATTTTAACAACTTTTTTTTATAAAGAGTGCGTTCCAAAATGACAGAGTATTAGAGAGTCTAATAATTTGGACACGGTAAAATTCAAGCGAATTTTGGGAAAAAGGTTTGAAACCGTGGTTAGGCAGTTATATCTTTATGTTGTAATTTTGTAGGAAAAAGTAGAACTGTTCACGCACTCCAGATTATTTTTGAGTGTTACGAGTCAATGTTAGAAAGTTTTATCCTTACCGTATACTTGAGTGACGTGCGCACAGGAGTTCTGTTTCTGAGAGTCGGGTTGATCTGTGGTAGCAACAGTGTATTGCTTCTCTTATATGCTTCTCTTTTATACTTGTCGTGCAAGCTGTGTTGATAAAACGACATTGAAAGACGAAACTTAAATGTTCAGTTCTGCTTTTTCAAATTAGGCATTGTTAACGAACAATTGATTGTGAAACAATACTGTTTTTGAAGTAATAATTGTAAGCTAAACTGAAAGAGGATTTACGATACAAGGAAACAGGTAAATCAGTTACCAGTGCCCCCAAATATGTACATGTGAATCTAAAAGGTCCCGTCCTTCGAATATTACTGTTGCAATTATTCCTTCCGACGAAGCGTAAATTCGGCGAGTTCAACGGACAGATTTTGAAATTACCAAACACAATTATCTTCTTCTTTATACCACTTCGTTTTTCAAAATTGCAGTGTTTATAGGGGGATGCTGAAATCGTGGGATATCCGCCCCACTTTGATTATTTTATACCAAAATCCATTTAATGCCACAGATATGCTTGCTTGGTTGCTTGATGATGCTGATGTCTCTTTAGAGATTATGCTTATTAGGTTCTGGTGAGTAACAGCTGTCTGTATTGCGTTGGACGTCCCAGTCCTCACATTGACCAAGTTCACACGGGGAGGTTAGAATTTTAATTTTGAGATGATAGTTGCTGTCATACTGAGAAATATAACAGCTGATCCAAGAAAGCAGAATAGGTCATGGTTTCCTGATCTGTTTTATGTCAATGATGTTATTAATTAAGGGACTTTGGGGGTTTTCGGATTTAATTTTGAATTTCACACTGGTCTGAATCATTTTCGGTGATCCGTCGTTGGTTCATTGACGCCAAATCCCGCCTAGTTGATGATGAGAACCAGCGTTGAGATCACTGATTGATGGCCAATTTTAGTGGACAGGGAAACGACATATAAAACACCCACATTCAACGGTATAAATATATTTTATTTCATACATTTTGTATGAAATTTTGTAAGAAAAACAAGTTAACTTTAGCAGCATGTGCTTTTGACGGTCAAAAAGCCGAATTTCATAGAGCTGCTTCGGATAAATTCCTGCTGAGCAATTTGTTGAAATGAAAAGAGTACCAGTAAAAAAGCACTACATGTATACACATACCAAGACCTAATGGCTGGTAACCTGTTTTGGCTGAGCAACTTTCTTTGTTTTATTGTATTTCTGATGAGTGAAGCAGCTCTGTGTAATTGGCCCTAGATATTCAAACGCGCTTCATGCTTGCCACGCTTTGATAATTTCGGATGACTGATGTGTCGGGAAGAGTTAAAAGGTTGACTCGCGACGTGCCAGCCTCCTCACAAGTAGACACGAGTCGGAGCAAGTACACCCGTACCCTGACGGAGTACCGACGGTAGTGTGGCACTTTTAAGCATATATCTTCGTGAGCGCATCACCTACACGAATTGTTGGGATTTTTGGCTGATATATTTCGCAGCACGTCGACATTGCTTCCGCTACCTCTGCCTCACCCATACGAAGTATTCCAAATAACATCGAGAACCAAAAGGTATGTAGCCTTGCTGAGGAATTGCCTTCAGTAGTCTTGTATTTTCCTGTGATTTCCTCTGTGAACAGAGAGGCACACCGTGTTACATTCAAACCAATCATCTCTCAGTGAGTATCGTTTGATGCTGAAAATGTGTATCGATGCTGCGGGGGATGATTTATTGTATTTTAAACATGATAACATCAGTTCAGTGAGCCAAATACGACCCAAAGTTTCTAGAATATAATACACATGACTGCATGAGTGCTATTCATTATTATTGTATGCGTCAGAAGTTAGAGGAGGTTTTTGAAATTTGGACATTATTTTATAGAGTTGAAATGTGTATTATTATCATTTATATTGCTGGTTGTGCCTCTTAAAATACAAATGTCATTTTTTCATAATGGAATTTGATTAAAATAGCTAAGTACAGGCAACGCCATTCTCAACTTCTATTGCAAGTGATTTAACAGGACGTATAACAACCATGAAATCTGTATATAAAATCTATCGGCGGGCACCAAATGTCAAGTATGACAGTTGGGGTCAGTTGTTCTTGAAATCGGTTAAGGTTAGCAAACCCCGAGTCGCGCTGAACTACACCATACCTGGGAGTCGATTAGTGCGACGTATGAAACACCAGCGACCGCATGCATGAAACGTCGAAAGATCGACTTTTGTAGCCGGGCGGAACCGCTGTGGAACGCCTTGGTTTCAGACGTCGATCTTTCCATGAGCCGAAATGTAAATGTTCGATAATTAGGAAATTTGACCTTAAAATCCATATTTACCAGCCTTGCTCTTACATAAACTTATCCATTTAGTCCTTAATAGGCCTACGTGAATTGTTTCATAAAAATTACCTAATGGATTCGATTATACCGCCCTTAACTATTCTTTTCGTGTCCATAAGTCGAATTCACAAGAATTGAAGGGAGAACTGACTCATCAGATTGGATATGTCTTCTCCCCGGTGCTACAGCTTAGATTGGTAAAGTACGTTGCCTAAAACCAAAACGATTTGGACTGACTCAAAGTCGCCCCTTAATTAAACATTTTGGTTTGGCGTGTCCCTAGATGACGCTCTAACCTATAATTCTGTATCATCTATTATATGTCACGAAACTTCCTTTAACAACATTTTGTTGGAAAAAGATAGAACACGGTATATTATAACTTTGTGCTGTATGCCGGGCATTTATTTAGTAATTTGAATTGAATCAATTAAATAAGTTCTCGGGAAAAGACCCCTGCCGCGGCTGAAGAAATCCCGTCATATTTTGGGTGAGTCGTCCATTTGTTTCTTTAACTCCAAACATATTGCAGATGCAGAATGGTTGGTGGAACTTGTCCAGTGATTGGTTGACCTGACTCAAGTCGGGATTTTCCCGTGACGTTGTCTGCGTTTATGCTTTAGATATGTGGATGCCCCGCGTCGTTACTTGCTTCGCGCCCTCTTGTGTCCATTTACTACTGTGAGTAAAGTGATCAAGTATCTTTCGGTTATTCGCCCCTGCCCACAGCGCGCAAAGGAAAAAAAGGAGATCGTTTCATGCAGTGTGCGCAGTAAATGAAACTTTCTAGTCAAAAATCCCACAGAATTTATATCGTAGGTGGTATAAATGGGCAGCTATTTGGGAATTTATTCAGACGTTGCGTAGAACAAATTCTGAAGGATTTAAGTCCGCGGGGTGCAAAAGAAATGTTCATGTGGTGACAGATGAAACGATCCATTTTATCCCAGCTGCAATCCATATGCCACCCCATGAACTTTTCTTCTGCACCCTCATCAAACAAAGTTTGGTGCGAAGTACTGCTCAGTAAATTGTTCAACAGTTTGTACGTTGTAAGCCAATTTTGTCCTCTTTCATTACTTATGATACCAACAAAATGATGCTTTTGTTCAAGCATGCTGATTAGAGACAATCTGAATCGGTGGTGTTAAAAGTTGACTTCGCCATTCGACATGTGCAGTCTCCGCTGAAGCTGCTTCGCGACTTTGTAGCTTAGTCCCTCGGTCTAATGCCTGATAAGCCACGAATGCCCTGGCAAAGGGCTAGCGCGCACTTTATGTGTAAAACAATCTGTACTTTAAACTTATTTCTCTTTTCAGAAGTAAAACCTACGATCGGCAATGGACGCCCTGAACACTGATTACCTGAACATGACAACGTTGCTTGACGTCTTGGAAAAAAGGGAAATCAAATACGTCCGCCTTGAGTTTGGCGACATGAATGGTATATCCCGATGTAAAGTCATACCATCCAGACACGTCCAAGAAAAATTCACGGAGGGCATCGACATACCACTGGCTCATTTTGGCATGGACACTTCAAGCAACCTGGTCTTGGGTACAGGCTATGGCACCGAAATCTGCTGGGACGACGGGGTGTTCTTACCAGACTTAGCCACCTTCCGCTTCGTGCCCTGGCTGCCAGACACAGCCATGGTGCTGACAGAGCCAACCTACCGTGGCAATCCCATGACGTCATACCCACGATATATCGCCGGAAAACAGTTGGAACATCTTCAGGAATTGGGCTATACTTTACTGTCCGCACACGAGCACGAGTTCTATGTCGTCGACGCAGAGACTAAGAAACCCCTACACAAGGGAAACCTGAGGTCCTCTCTGAGCATATTCAGAGATGCAGATTTGCTGTATGCATTCTCGCGAAATTTGACGGGGATTGGTGTAAATGTCGAGGCCTTTGACACTGAATTATCCCCTGGCCAAGTGGAGATCACCTACAAGCCGGCGTTCGGAATCCGTGCAGCTGACAACGCACATATTTACCGTACAACTATTAAGGAGGTTGCGCAGAGACACGGCTACATCGCCTCGTTTATGTCCAAACCGTGGGAGGACCAGTGCGGGAGTTCTGCCCACTTCTGTCACTCCCTCTGGGATGCTTCAGGAAAGAAAGGCGTCATGTATGACCCAAAAGATGATCTGAACATTTCAGAAGTCGCACAGCACTGGATTGCCGGTATCCTCGCTCACGCACCAGCAATCAGTCTCTTGATGGCGCCAACCACAAACTGTCAAAAACGATTCAAACCTTTCAGTTTCGCGCCGATCAACGCCACGTGGGGAATAGCCAACCGGACATGCGCCTTGCGGCTCAAGGTAAAAGGTGAAGTGGGAACCTATTTGGAGAATCGAATGGGAGCCAGCGGCAGCAATCCTTACCTGAGCCTGGCCGCTACAGTAGCCGCTGGAATTGATGGTATCACCAAGAAACTCCCACTACCCGCACGAGTTACCGGGGACGCGTACGTTCAGGCAGACGTACCGGCGGATACTCGCGACCTTCCCAGTACTCTCTCGGGGGCAGTGGAAGCCTTTGAGGAAGACAGCGTTATCACCGAGGCTTTTGGGCCAGAGTTCTGCAAGGCATTCCTAGCTGTCAAGCGGTACGAGATTGAGAAGGGAATGGAGGCACAAGACAGCGGGGACACAGAGTGGGAATTTCGCAATTACTTTGAAATGACATAGCGTGATTTGTCAATCAGCCATTAAGTAATCACCAGTCTTTGATTTCCTTTTATGGTGATTTCAAATTTCGTTGGGGATCCAGCTTACTTAACTCACCTCCTAAAACGTGTACATTGCATAGTTGAACCTTGTGGAGCTACCTTCAGCTCCAAGTATCCATCACTTTGGATACAAAGTTCGAACCAGTACTTTAAAAGGTGCCAGATAATAATTATTGAAGTTGATTTTTTCAGAAACGTCAGAGTTGGCTTAAAAGCTTGAAAGGTCTGGATACGTATTAAAGAACCGAGCAGCTAGATTTTGAACACAGTACATTTATAAGTATACATTAACACATTCGTGGTTTCACTTCATGTTAGTCCAGCATTTGTAACTTTCTTCGCCTTCAGTTACTGTATTCGGAGGGCAGGGTACTGTGTTAATGCTTGCAGAATATTTTTTCAACCTTTTCATTAGTTTATGTGTATTTTAGCGTGTAGAGAATATTTTGGAAGTACATGTACTTGGGTTGTGAAAAATAAACAATGTAGAGATGTTTGTAGTTATGATCTGCAATGTATAGGTTTACAAGTCGATGTTATTTCAAAATCATCAATGTGGTGGTTATCAGAGAATATTTAGAGAATATTTTGGGGTACTTGGGTTATGAAGAATTAGCAATGGAGAGATG